GGGACAGAGCGCAGCCACGCCACCCTTCCCACCAAATGTTGCGGGTTTTGGATGGCATTATTAGTGGAGAAAGCCGCCCAGGCTGCGCTCCAAGGCACGCCCCCTCACAAGCCCAGTCTTTTGCAGAGATAACAACTGTAGCTCGCCAAGTGCTCTCTCCTGAACTGACTGTATCCAAAGGGAATTACCCTGGGTAACAAGCACTTGCACCTCCTGACCCTGGCGAAACATACCTTTTGTAAGTTGACTCGTTATAGGGTGATTTCGGCTCGAAATCGAAGAGAGCGTCAACAAAATGATCAACAGTGCTCGCGATATCAACCTGGGCATCATGGAATTCAGCCAAGTCCGGTGAAGGAAGCTGAAAAAAAAGAATCCGTAGGAGTTCTACTACTCTGTTACTAGTTCAAGCCAATGGAATGGATAAAGCAAACCTCGGGGACGAACGCATCGGCTGGGAGAGACGTGCAGGTGCTTGTCGTCTGAACAGACTTCTCCAGGCGACCCTGCTCGGTCGGCAGCAGACTTGGACGAGGTGGTGAGAGTAAGCGCAAGGCAGACTCCTGAAAAACGTATCTTTCGACGGCTTCTTGTTTTGAAACCACACATTTTCGGAAATTTAACAGTCATAACCCCAGTTTTCGAAACACGGATATGACTGTTACCGAAGTATGTTCCAGGGGTCTCAGGAGAGGAAGGGGTGCTCGAGAGGAGGAAGAGAGGGAAGAGGAAGGGGTATGTTTGGCTCGACTACCATAAGAAATATTTAATAATGACGTTTAGACGATATTCATCGAGAATGGACAATGTATGGCCAAAAAGAACTAAGTGTCTATCCATGTCCTTGTCTACATGAAATCCGATGCTCAATCGAAAGGGTAGTGCAAATTGAGGAAACGTCGCGCCCATTGCCGCGCGCGACGAAGCGGCAACTTTACGAATCTCTTGCCCGTCTCCTCTAAAGCAGTGACATTATAATGGTTTTGCTGTGCCGCCAACCAGCAAGGAGGGAAGAGAAAATATCCTGCCAAGGTCAGATACGACCCTCATCGACTAAATCCGACCCCGCTTCCAACGATCTTGTACGACCCGCACCCCTCATGGGGTTCTTCCAAGGATAATGGGCCCTGGATCACGGGCGCAAGACTTTCTTGTGTCAAACAGGTGTCACACTCCCAACGTTTCCGAAAGATGGGATCGAAGGAGCGAATAGTGCAACCACCGTTATGCAGAAGACAGAAATGTACCATATAGCTGGAACAAGTTCTCAGACCTTTATCATTTCCTGGCGCTGTTCCAACTTCTTAAGGAACTCAATGAAACCAGCATCGAACTCGATATCTGATGGTTCAAACAGAGCAATATCCTCTGGTGATTCCTTCAGACTCTGGAAATAAAAAGGCTAAATCCTACACTATCTTACTTTCAAAACTGAGTCACGTTCATACCATAAAACTCAAATATCAAACTCTGACCTTTTCCTGAGCGAACGTGTGGCATTTCCAGCATACTGTACGAGGTTCACTCTCGAGTTCGAAGTCTACACGCTTCAACTTGACGTTTTTGACAGGTGAGAAGCAGGTCCTTAAGAAGTAAACGGAAATATTTCGCATTACTTGGGAGAATTTTTAATTAGAACCTTTAACAATTAATCTCAAGGAATCAGTCTACATTGGACCAACCAGGCTCACCGCCTATTTCACTGAAACGCTGCTGCGAGAACGGATAGAATGAAGAAGGCACAATGAGCTTCTTCCTCCGTAGGCCTGGGCAGTTGTAATGAAAACGCGTAGTACGTTGATAAGACCCCGGCGTGGGGTCGTATTTGGTCGCTAGTCGAAGCGGATAGCGTCTACCTCTGGACTTTCTTTGACGCTTGATTCTTCTAGTTTTACGCGCTATCTACATCGTTGGGAGGATTTTCGTAGGGGAGGGGGGGGGGTCGTATTTACTAGCTGTTGGGAGGAGGATCGAATTCGACTTCAAAAGGAGTCTTACAAAAAAATTCCCGTTGTCGACTTACAGCGATTCTTCTCATTTACCATGTGTTGTTACTCCTCCGCCTCGATTGCAGGACTTTCGGTCAAAAGAAATTCTCCAGGAACTGATAAAAAAGCAGGAAATAAGGGAAGCCAGTAAGATGGTAGTTGGAATGGTGGAAGGGCGGGGGTTTGCACCAGAGGAGGGAATCCAGAGTTCGTGCTCTCCAAAATGCTTCCCGCGGCAAGAAGTGCCCTGAGAACAGGGTACAGCGAAATGGCGGTTCCAGTGCGACCCGAATTTTCTCACATTTTCCAATTTTCACCCAAAAACTTCCTGTTAAAAGGCGGGGAGGGGCGAGGTAGGGGGATGCAAAAGGGGAAAAACCGCAAACCAGGAAACTTTTTT